AACCGATAAAATTGAATTGTGCATAAAATAAGATTAAAATAAACCTTAATTCTTTAACCATGTTTTGTCTGAAAAGATTTTTTACTAACTTTATGTCAAAATATGCGACAGACAAAATAAAATTGAAAACTTTCAGTAAATCACAATCGCATAGATAAAAGTGCTGCTTTAACTCAAACGAGTCTTGATTAACAATGTGTATTTAAATCAGTTTATTACTTTAATAGTTGAACAATCGAAAATTGTTATACAAATTTCCATCATTGTCTATGATTGTATGATTGATTTATGATTATACGTAATACATCTATCATTTTATGAATAAATTCATTGTTTTCATAGTGTTAATAAACGAAAATTTGATAAGTGTTCGAATAATATCTCTTTCTTTCCCGATTGTATTTATCAATATCATTCTTTTAATTATTATATCCTTTGATCTGTAAGTCCATATCGAAATAAATTTTATATCAACTTAAAACTTATCAGTTGTAGATTTCAAATTAATAATCAACCATTGATTATAAAAAAAATTTTCGGACATTCAAATCAATACACAAGAGCACATCATTAAAAAAACGTTTCAATAAAGTCACATTTTATTTTAAATTGTTTTTATATTGTATACTAGGTGTCATTATTGGATGGTTCAGAAATAATGACATACACACTTTTATTTTTAGATTTCTTCATAGATATTCATCGAATAAAAACTTGCACATAAACTCATTCGATTAAGAATTTAATTCTCTATTTAAAATCGTATTAATTTTTCCTAAACGATGGAAAGTTCGGGTATCATCAAAGAATGGATCCAAATCTTCTTATATTCATCTTTTTTAATTTTTCACTTTTACCCAAAATTTTAATCTAAAAATTTTAAAGTATCATCAAAAGATGTAGAATTTTACAAGAAACTTTTGATGTACTCGAAGTTTAACGAAGGTAACTTGTGTGTCATTATTTCTGGATCATCCGATTGATTAATGTTTTCTGAGTAAATTTTTTATTCCCAAATCTTCAGGTTTAGCCATGGTAAGAAAAGAGTTAACTAAAACTTTTAACAACATCTTTTCATTAAGATAAAAATGTGACACGTTTATAATATTGGCCTGGCTTCGTACTGAGGTTTTTCTAAAAAAGAGAAATTAAGGAGAAATCGCAAAATCTTGAAAGGCGACACGCTACCAAAAAAGGAGGATGTAAATTTTAAGTTAAAAATACTAATTTAACACAATAGATAAGCGCATCAGAATTTGATCATATTTTGACACAAAGGGAGTATTCCTATAGCTTTTGAAAAATTTTATTTTACAAAATTGAACGGAAGAAAAGAAAATACCAGATGCGTGTTAACGAGAATGAATAGATTCATCTGAATTCGAAATGTGTAAGATATTTATGTACGATGAATAGGAAGAGAGAGAGAAAAAGAAAAATATCCATTAAAAGAAATATTGATGACACGATAGTAGAAATATGGCTGGGATCAAGGGTTTTCAGTCCTGATTCTGGTCCTGAAAATTTTCTAAAAACTTCATATTAAAATATAGAAAATAGGAAAAAGGTAAATTTTTAGCTGCTTTTACGAATTGTCTTATATACCATTCGATAACTCTAAGTCTCAGCTTTATGCTTTGTTGATAGAGATTTTTATCTAAAATTTTTCTATCAAAAGATAGAAGGCAGGTTTTTAAGTTTGATCTGCTTTTTTCGCTCAATAAGTGTTCGTACGATCACTTTTTCACTTCTATTTGGATATTTATCGAACAGATAGAATTTTTGTTTATATACCATTTGTAAGAGCAAAGTCTGGACTACACAATGAAAAAAAGAAATTATCAAAATTAATTGTAGCTACTGGATAAAAATTGTGTTTTTAACTAATTAGTCAAGTTTTACATTAAAAATTGTTTGGTCTACCTAAAACTCATCAAAAATAACTTTAAGTATACCAGTGGATAGCGCTTGAAAAACTGCATGTATCTGTAATACGTATAGTGTAGGAACAATGTTGCACACGGATTCTTCCGCACGGGTACATTATGCACGAGGAATGTTTCACACCGGACTCTTGTGCATCAGATTGTTACGCACGGACGCTTGCGCACGTATCGCATAATGAGACAGAAAATCAAAGTGATGGTGTTCTGTAATCAGAGCGTTTTTTTGTTAATCTAAAATTTTTAAAGAACATAATTAATTATTGTGAATAAACTAACTGAACGATGATGTTGCGTAAACAATATAGTACTAAAAAATATAGCTCAGTGCAATATAGTGCTACACTACTATACGATTTCGAAATTTTCTGTACTATGACTTCTCAACATGAAATGGCTATAACTACGAAAGGTCGGCCACTGATGGTTGATGACGGTTATTCATATGTAAAAGATCGTCAAACAAATATAAAAACGTACTAGCGCTGTGAGAACCATTCATTGACAAATTATATGATGAGGAAGATTCAGCCATTCGTACAAAAATTTTACATACCAACACTGGAGAATCAATACAAAAAACAAAGAAATATCAACATTTAGATAAATGTTTGTTAAATCCACATACAGATATAATTGATCAAATCAATAATCTAGCTCATAATATTTCTCTTAAATAAACGTCACCATCGTTTAGTTAGTTTATTCACAATAATTAATTATGTTCTTTAAAAACTTTAGATTAACAAAAAATGCTCTGATTACAAAACATCATCACTTTGATTTTCTGTCTCATTATGTGATGTGATACTTGCGCAAGCGTCCGTGCGTAACAACCTGGTGCACAAGATTCCGGTGCGGAACATTCCTCCTGCGTAAGGTATCCGTGCGCAAGAATCTGTGCGCAACATTGTTCGTGTGCATCGTTCCGGAACCCTATATAAATGTTTCCTAATAAGAACCCGAGTTACATTGTAACAATCGCCACAAGAATGGACGATACTGTGAGAAAGATCATACGCAATGTATGGTGACTAAGCTTTTAGAAGGCTCGTTTTTTAAACGCTGTTCTAAAACCAGGCAACTTTGTCCATTGTTTACCAAAAAGGAGAAAAAAAAGGAGATAATGGGTAAAAGGAGAAAATTTTATTTAGGAGGACAAGTACGATGCAAGGATACTGTCGCCAATAGTTGCTCATATTTTTTTCCAAAATGGGATCTTCAAAAAGGAAGAGAAGTATTGAATTAATTCTTTTTTCCGTTAGATTAGACAGCTCTTCAACTTCCATTTTCATCTATAATAAAAGGACTTTTCGTTTTGTTTTGAGTTCAGAGGAGATAAAATACTGAATGCCGTTTCTTATTTCCAGCCATTTTGTGACAGCTATCGTGCTCTTATGAGAATAGTAGGATAAGTTTTTATACAGTCAAATCAATGTAAAAGGTTGATGTATTAGAAGGAAGATCCAGAGATCAGTGCATCAGAAATTAACCTGAAAAAGTTTTTGAGTTCAGATTACTCTATAGATACAACAAGCCTTTGTTTTCGCTTTTCCCTAATACATTAAGAAAATACTTTTCAAACGAGTTTAAACTTCAACTCCTCTACTCTTTCGGAATAATAGATAAAAAATTTCACAAAACGCAGTAAAAAAACTTACACAATAATTGAAAGCAATGGATAATCGAATAACTCATGATGTTTCAAAATTTATATTTATGTGATACAGCAAACAAGAGACAAAAAGGCAGATACATAACATAAATCTAAAGATTTTGGCAAACATTAAAAAAATTAACAGCAAAAAAGAGCATAAAAATCAACATAAAAAAAACGTTTTCGCACGGACATAATATATCTTTCATGTTTGATGCACCCGTATAGAAAATTTTTTCTCACATCAATTTTAGTATAAACATAATTTACCACTTTTATCCAAATAAAAAAAAAAAATTCAGGAAATAAATTTACACATTGAAGGTAAATATATAGCTAGCTCAACTGAAGTTTTAAATTTTATTAATAACTTACTAAATCCAAAATTCTTTTGAATCAATTATTCGTGAGAAAAAAAAGACGAACAAACAAAAACAATAGCGATTTTTTTTTTTGTTTAGACGATTTAAAAACAAAAGTCAATTAGATTAAGTTAGTAGTAAGAAAAAATATGATAGTGAGATCCTATGAAAAGTGAAATAAAGTAAAGATAAGCTAAACCAAATTCAAATTTGGATATAGCTATCTTCGATAAACATTTGAAAATATCTTTAAGTAAATTCTAATAGTATAATTCGACTGCTGTTATTAATTGACAATAAAGGAGAAAATAAGTTCGATTATCCTTACTCAGCATAGTCTGTTGTCAAATGCAGAAATATTTCTTTTGAAAAATGTTTTGACCCATATAAATTTAACTTTAAATCTGAGATTATGCTTAAAGCAGCGGACAAAAAAATTGCCAAAATGAGTCAATCACTCGTTTGGATAATATTTGAACTTTTTAAAATAAACCCATCTTAAAACGATGGCTTTGAATGTCTATACATTTTTCCATGAAATAATCTAATGAAACGAAGACCTGTTTCTCTCTTAAGAGGGTTGAACCTATGTACCCTTGCATACTATCAAAAGCTTACTGATGATGTAAAACAAGTTTAATTGAGTTAATCAAGACAACAACAAAAATTACATTTGGTTTTCAGATTTCAAAATTAAATACAATTTCAAACACACACGCACGCATTAACAAAACAACGAAAAAGAAATTTTCAATAACAAGAGGAAATATACAAAGATATTTTTTACAAAAAAAGAAAAAATTTTGTTCACTGTTATATAATGTAGAAAGAAAAAAGAAATGAATAAAACAAAAATGGCAAGAAAGAGATACTTTTCATCTCGAACAGAAGTTGAGGACAACAAAAATAAGGATAGAAAGAAGAGGTGACGTAAAAGAGCGAGAAAGATACCGGATGTTGAGCAAATAGAGGAAAATAACGACATTGAATACTTTTTGAAATCGAAGCATTTCATAATAAACCGAGTTATAATCACGATTAGGTTGTCCCGTCCGTTCCTGTTTGTAAATGGGCATTACCATCAGTGATATTTTCGAATTGTTGTTCGCTAGCAGTGGTGGATGGCTGAGTGGACTGACTTTCGCTTGTTTGCTGTTGCTGTTGTAATTGTTGCTGTTCATGTTCGTATTCAACTACTAAACGTTTTTTTAATGCGAACGAAGAAGACGGAGTGGATGGCGACGGACTTGAGCCTGTTGCGCTTGAGAATCCTGCCGATGCAGGACTTTTACGAGGAGAAATAATTTGTTCATGTTCATGAGAAGGAGATGGTGACGAAAATGTTTTGCTTGTTTGTGATTTTAATAATGCATCACTACGATTTGAAGAGGACGGAGATTGTTGAGACTAAACAAAAAGATGAGACCAAACAATTGACATCAATATACATGCAAGCTAGTTTGAATCAATGTAATCAACACAAAATGGAATCATTAATCTCTTACCGAAAAATGGTGTGGTTGAGCGCGATGAGCGTGTGCTGTAGGTGTTAGATTTTGTTTCCTTGATGTTTTGGTTTTCGGTGATTTTTGACTTGTGTCATGATGCATCAGTGGCGATCTGATCATGTGATGTGGATCATGGCGAGACATTTGTTGCGGAGACATTGAATCTGGATGATTGTAGTTATGATATTGTTTGTTACTATCAGAGATATTCAACAGGCGCTCAGTTGGTGAAGACCTCACGGAATCTGTCGATATTTCAGGTGTAAAACGGAAACCACACGATTGAACTGATCCAGCATTATTGTTTTGAGACGTTTTTGGAAAACAATTTGAATTATTACGTGGATTTAATAAATTATTTGAACTATTTGGTGACTTATTGAGAGAAAAATGCGATGATCGTTGATGGTGCTGAGAAGCGGCGTATGCATTGACATTCAAAGAAGACGAACTTGTTCTACTACTAGGTGACGATGACGACTGTTTTAGTAAAATGGGACTGCCTTGTGTTATGGATCCTCCACGATTGGATGTTGAACCACCACGTTGTGCTGCAGTCGATGATGAACCAAATTGACTATGCAGTGATGGGAATGTATTCGATCCAGATTGTTGGGTTGTTGATGGATATTGGTGATGTAGATAATGCGCTTGCTGTTGCTGCTGCTGTTGTTGTTGTTGATGGTGATGCTGAGAAATTGATTGCCAACTTCTTTCGTGTGTAGTTGAGGGTTGCATGTGATTTGTTTGTGCTCTAGATGAATTAGGAGGTTGTAACGTGAATGGATCGCGTACAGTAGACGATGACTCGGTACTGTTCGTTGAAGGGTATACTGATGACTGATGATAATTTGAAGAGGATAATTGCTGTCGTTGCTGTTGTTCAGTAAGATGTTGGTTTTGGTCATCACGACTTGCGTCGGACAATTTTGACGAAGTACTAAAAAATAGCTCTTCCCCATAAATGTTCCGTGACAACGAAAAAGCTACGTTTTGAATTGTATGACATAAGACCAGTCCTAGCTTTTGTGGAACTCCTCCGAATAGTTTTCGAAGGAACGAGAAGTGTAAGTTATATACTCAGAACCTTGGCGTTTTTGCTGTTTTTTTACCGCATCGCCTCTGTAGTTATGATTTTAATTAAATAAATAATGGCATTGGTTATGATCGTAAGTTTGCCTAGTGAAGCCCAGTTATAACCTTAGAGCCCCTAAGTATAATCTTAAAATCGTTCTCGGTATGTATTAATGATCTTTAAATTATTCAGGACTTTATTTACAATCTTACAGGTCCGGTTATGATCTTAAAACCGTACAAGATTTACAGTTATGATCTTAAAACTACTACGGACCTCATAGTTATTATCTCTTGTGAAACTCCTCTCCTAAACTCCAACATAGAAAGGAGTTGAAGTTTATACTCAAATCTGCAGAGATTTTTGTCGACTTTTGACCACCCTTCTCCCGCCTAGTATTGTTCTTAAATATGTTGCTATGGCACATCTTACACTCGTTGCTGTGGCACTAGCTTTTGTCTTAAAATGGACTAGTACCGATCATAAATTGATTGCTATGGTAATAGTAATGATCTTAAAAACGTTATTTTGGTACTAGTATGGACCTTAAGATGACTGCTATGCCATTGTACTGATCTTAAAATCTGTTCATACGGCTTATGTGTTAATTGAATATCCGCCAATAGTTCTTTTTCTTACAAAAATAATCTGTTAACTGTGTTCTTACTAATACCCTGATATCAGGAGTTTCACATTTTACCCTCTAAAAGGGGCTGTGCTGCCAAGATTTTTGCTTAGGGATTATACCCATGTCATCGATTTTTATTGAAAACTGACGGTTAACCGAAATGAACGTCGGCTACCGTTGGTCCAGCAGCAAAAAACCGTCAGTTATTGGTTGATCTGTGTTTTTTTATCGGAGCGCATTCACCACTTTTAATCACTAATTACAAAAACGAACTCAAGAACTAATAGTCGGAAGGAGTTCCACATTATAGCCTCAAACGGGCTGCTTCAACAAGATTTTTTGCATGATCCATGAAGTTTCTGTCCATCATCGCCATAAATATAACAGTTCTAATCAAACTTACCGCATTTTTTTCGGGGCTGGTTGTTGACTAGATGTCGGCCGTTGTGGGTTAACTGTGGATGAGAAGGATGAGGTGCGATTTCCACTTGGATTACGAAAGACACTGGGTGCTCCTAAAGAAAACAGCAATAACATTATTTTTATATGCGTTTTTTGATTGTTAAATAACTAGACGAAAGAACAAACCATCACGCTGAAGAGGTGGACATTCAGCTGCTAATTCATCACGTATCAAATATTCGAATTCAGTATATGGTTTTGAACTTGTTGACGGCGATAACGGTCGTTTATTTGAGCCTTGTTCTTAAAATACAAAGAAAAGAATATTGAAATTACGCTCCAGACTAAAGATAATGCAGATACCTGTTCCTGTTAATTGTGCTTTTCCATCAGGACCATAACTTCCTTGACCTTTTAACATGCTCATTGTAATTGAACCACGTGAACGACCTTTAACGAAATTAATTTTTAGCGAAAAGTTCTGTTTGTGACACAAGGTAGATATCACCTGCACGTGTACCACTGTTCGTTCGCTCTAAATTTGCATTTTGTGCAGCCTGAACTTTCGCTGCATCTGAATTGCTCTTCAATAATTGTTCACTGATTACTATTGTAAATAGAAAATAGATCAGTGAAGACAAAAGTTAATAAGAGTAATAACAATTGAGTTACCTTGATATTCAGGTTTTAATTTGCATTTTTTAGTCAGATCACCAACTAACATTTTTGCTATCGAACCATTTCTTCGACGTTCACTTGGCCCGGTATCATTTGTGGAAGTTGTTAACATTGTATTAACAGAGGATGTAATCGGCACTGTCGTAGTTGATGGTGGAGTAGTTTTTATTGATTCATGTTTATTTGCTAGAGAAACAAAAGAAAACCGTTTCATACATCTTTCCCTAGAGAGACCTAGAAGAACATTCTTACATTGTTGAAAGCTTGACTGTCTATGGCGTTTTTGCTGTGAGGATTGAGGAGAGTGATAAAGATTTGTTGGATGTTGTTGTTGTTGTTGCTGTTGTTGAGAATCTTGTTGATCTCTATCATTCTTTAAAAATGGTAAAGCAATGAGAGAGTAGTATAAATATTGGGAAGATAAGTCAGAAACTTACTTCTGAAGACTGATCATTTGAGTCATCATCAATTGTAATTAACTTTAAAGAGAGAATGTAAAATTTCCCCAAAAAAAGCTGATAAGCAAAACTTAGAATCTTACTTGATGTGCTTTTGCATTACGCAAAATACATGCTAAACGGCTATTTGATTGGTTGCCAGCTATCGATGAGAAATTTTCTTGTACTGGTGAAACAGTCTCACGTAATATTTTGGGATCTTGATCTAAAAAGATGTTTTATACAAAAATATATACTATTTTCTATTTGTATCCACTTTAGCCTCTAAGCCCTAACTACTAAGAGAAATTTGAAGCCAGAAAGTGACTGAAAATCTAGATAGAAGTAAATAAAAATTAAGTATTAAAATAACGCACTATTGAAAAATAGAGTAGCATTTTTTTCCATAAATTGTTGAATTGTAATTGAATTCTGACTATCGTTTGATGTCAAAGGAACAGTTTTACTATCATAAGCATAGGACGTTGGATGATGTGATGAATGATGAGGTCGTTGTGATTGATGATAAACAGCTGACGGTGATGAATGATGTCCAGGATATTGTAAACTGTACACGGATGGAGAAGGAGATTGTACTGTAGCTGATCCATAAGAGGCTTGTTGCGGCGATACTTGTTGTGATTGCGCATGAGAATGATGGTGATGAGAATGAGAATGTGGATGAGCCGGTTGTGGCTTATGAAGACCCGCACGAATGTACGGCGAAGATGAATCGCAATGTTCAGTTATTGGCATTATATTTCCTTTCTTATAAACCTCTGTGGGCGATGAATCGCGTATTGTGCTCGCTTTCTACAAGAAAAAACACAACATATTGTTTCACGATGTTCTATTCTGTTTATTAATAATGAAATTACTTACAATAACGTTTTGATATTGAGGTTGTGGTTCAACACGAAGAAAATGTGCTGAAGAACTTTCGGTTGATCGTGAATTACCTGAACGATAAGACTGCTGTTGTGATGAATGTAAATATTCATCTGGTGATCTATCATATGAAAGAAACAAACATAATTTTTGATGAAAATTTAATTTTTTTGTTAGTGATTCGCACGAGCAATCATGTCTCACTTGGATGGAAAAAAGCCTCATCTTTTATTTAGATACTACTAGAACGAACAAAAAAAATCTTTATGGGACAAAGTGACATTGGTAGGTATTAAACAGAAAAGAGTTAAAAAGAAGAAACAAAAAATGCTAACTAGAAAAAAAGAATTAAAAAAAGCGGTAGAGAAAGTTATACTATTTGAGATACGTTAGAGTAATAAAGTAGACAGATGTTTTCAATTTTCTTTCAATTGAAGATAAAATCGAAATAAATCACAGCGGGGTCATCAGAACCCAAACTAGTGAAAAGACGAAATAAGAAGTAGAAACAAAATAATCTCATCTATATCGATGCTTTTACCTAAGCAAAGAACGAATAAAAAATCAACTCAACCCTGATCCGACCTAGAATATGCTCAAAATCTACCGGTTTCATTTGGATACTACCTGAACAAATCGATTAGATTTTACCGCTTCACTTTATATTCCACTGAATGACAATAGGGTGTATTATCAATATGAACTGATTGTATTCACTCATTATTTATCTGGCAGACCAGCAAGACATATCTTTAAAGCACTCGTTTTCGTCTGGGGTCCGCACGGACCCCAGGTGGACGAATCAGGGTTAAATCTAGTTATACACAGAATCAGATCATTGAGAAATTTCGCATAAAAACATCCCATAGCTTTTAATTAGTGGACATATAGCGTGTAAAAATATACATACAGAAAGAATAGAGTAGATTACATCTTGTTAGGGATTTCGATAGACTGTCTTTTCTAGACAGGACTTTCAACTTCTTAAATGAGAAATATTATTTTTTTTATTCAGATAATACTCAATATAAAGTACAAATAATTTTTTTTATAACGGTGGTCATTTTAAAGTAAACGGTGAAAGTGATACTTACATCGGAAATAAATAGACATCAGCCTACCCGTACTTTGAAAAAAGACTAGTCTGTAGTACAACAGCTAAGACTATTTAATGTTACCTGCTATTTTGTTCTGATCTATTTGACCGCTGGGATAATTCGTTTAATTTTGGTAGAGGATTTTCTACATTAGTATAGAGATGTTGTCTGGCATCATTCCCCGGACTGCTTTTGACTTGGCTCAAATTTTGTTGATGGCGTGTATAGTCGCCGTATCGGATATACTCTATTAACAAATCAAAATGATAGTAAACATAAACTTCATATAAAATAAAAATATTTTACCCATATTTTCCGATGCTACACGTTTAGCCGGTGTGTGATAAGTTTCCGGCGAATTGGTAACATTTGAAGAAGCTTGATGATGTCGCACACGAGAGGCTGCCACAGGATTAATTTTATGCTGATCAGCTACAAAAGAAAAACAATAAAACTTGGATATTTGTCATAAACTGGAATGAACAATAATACCTTTCAATTGTTCACTGTTTGTTGCTCCTGCTGTTGTATAATCGTGAATTAATCTCGGATCGTACATATTGAATAACTGAGGTCCGGATGCTGGTAGAGAATTATAATACGGCGAATATGGTAGAGCACCACTAGCAATGAAATCATGAGGATATAATAAAGATGCAACATTGGCATGCGGATGGACATTTGTTGGTATAGATCCAGAGGCTTGGGATGAAGAACCACTACTTTGTGTCTCATTAGATAAGACAATTGATGTTGATGACTGTTGTTGTTGTTGTTGCTGCTGCTGCTGCTGCTGCTGTTCACTTCCTCTGCCAGATGAAGATGGATGTCTGAAACAAAAAGAAACAAACTATAATAATGAATAATCTAAAGATATCATGAATTACCTTTCACTGACTCCTGAAGTTAAGTACTTTGATGTAACAAAATCTGCTCTTAGTGTTTCAAATGTTTCAGCTGATATGATATCTTGTGAACCAGTCGGAAGATTAGCCGTTTTCATCGGTGAGCTTGTTGTAGTCAATGATGTCGACGATGTGGTCAGACTTGATGGTGGTTTTTGCAAATGATACGAATGTGAAAATGCGTGATGAGGATACAGCACTGGGGACTTTACATTTTTATAATCTGACTGGTATCCTGAACGATATTGCTCTCGCTGTTGCAACAACAATGGATGTTGTTCATTGACAACCGCTCGATCTAAAGTTTTTGAAGAGCCCATTTTTGGCGAATCAATCATCAATTGTCGAAATTGTTGTTCATCTTGTTGTCGTGGGCTAAAATGGGTGTGAGAACTTTTATGGGACGTGTCAACAGCAATTGGCTTGGACGAGGAAGATGGCGATAACCTTGTGGAAAGTGGGGTGCCTTTCATTATCGATCCTTTATATAACGTTGTTGCTGATGTCTTAGGAGGTGAAGACGACGCTGAGGTAGTGTTTGCTGTTGTCGGTGTGGTTTTTAGTGTTACTAAAGGTGGTGGTTGAACTGAAGGAACAATCTGTTGAGAAGGCGGCCGCGCAACGGTAACTGTGAAGTTTTTTTCACTCATTGTTGTGGCATTACGTTTTTCCGTTTCATTCAAAGTATTTGATATTACTTTTTCGACAAGTGACGTTATTGTTGTTAAATTTCCACTTCGAATTTTTTCATTATCTTCTACATGCTGTTGATTTTGTTCATCGATTATCATTTTTGTTGATTCATTACTATCTTCATTGATTGTTTTTAGATCGTTATCATCTTCACAAACGACTAAAGTACTTATTCGAACGGCGTCAGAATCGCATTCAGAATAATTTTCATCTTCTTCATTTTGTTGTTGCTCTTTAATTTCAGTTATTCTATCGGCAAGCTACAAAAACGTGATTACATGACATTAATATTTACGTGAGAAAAACAGAAAAGTTTAAATATACTTGATTTTCATTTTCATTTTCATCTTTTTGAGCTACCGTTGTTTTGTCTAATTGAGATGGTTGTTTTATATAATATCCACCACAGTTTTTTTCGCTTCTTTGAATATTTTTAGCTATTTTCAACCAATCTTCACCGTCTACCAAATTAACTACAAACAGAAGAAAAAAATAGCATCAATATCCAATCCGAACGAACGAGATTTTATTAATATTCGAATTTATTTTTATTTATGCTTATTGACATAAAGATAAAATCATTCAGTAGCTACTATAAAATTAAATAAAAGTTTGAGCATTTACCTTCTTCATCGTCGTCGCTAGGTTTTTCATTTAATATGATTGTAATTTCACTTCCATCATCATTCAGTCGTTCTTTATCGTCTTCGATATTCACACTATTTGCCTCAGTATGGGCATTTCTCTTCTCCGTTGGTTCGCCATCTTCCTTCTCATCTTCATCTGGTTCATTTTGTTGAACAGTACGATAGATTTGTTTTATTTGAACAATAAGTTTATCATAACATCGTGGACAACAAGTTGTGCACTTGATCGGTATTTCTATAAAAAAGAAAAAAAATTAAAAAATGAGCTAACAGAACTATAAATTTCAAAACAAAGAACAAGAAACTTGAAAGGAATTTTAGCTACATACCCAATGAACGGCGAATCGTTTCTCGTTGCTCATTTGATAATTCATTCCATTTCGATGGAAAAGCTTTCAATTTATTTTTTCGATTCTTCTTTTTCCCAGTTTTTTCTGATACAATTGTTGTACATGAAATAACTTGGCATTGACTAAGAACAATTAAAAGATAAAATGCTTTTCTAAAGTCAAGAAAGGAAATACTCACTTTTTATTTGAACGTTTGTCACTATCCTCTATTAGATCTAGATAGGTGAAATAAATACAAATGTTATGAGAATAGAGAATAATTACACATGAACAAACATACCAGCTGATTTTGTTTGATCTTTGCCACGAAATTCATCCAAATTTTTGTCACTGAAAATGAAAATATTATAATTTATTCAATCTTTCTTGAATTTTATTCAAATAAATACCTGTCAATCGAATCAACGGTACGATCACTGTCCTAAACAAACCAAAGGCGTATAATCCAATAAACAATATTCAAAAAAATAGAATAAAAAAACCTTGACCAATTTCAAACACAAACTGTGTACAATTTCAGAACCGTGGTAGTAACTCTATCTATATAATTTTACAAAAAAACTTGCAACTTTAACAAGAATATCTCACTTTTTGCAGCGGGTTAACTTGTCCACTAGTCGTATTTTGTACGTTTAGTTGTTGTGATGATGATGACGTTGTGATTGCAGTTGTTACTTGTTTTGTTCTACGTCTTGTTTGTGTTTGTTTTCTCAATAGATTTTTGTAATTCTCTGCTTTCTTTGTCATGTAATAAAACATGATACAGTCTTCGGTTGTTTTATTCTCTAAAAACGATGCTATGAAACTAAAATTTTTTGGTGATTGTGTAAATTTTTCAATAAATATTTGTTTTTCCTCAACTGAAATAGAGAATTAAATAGCATATGAATGAGAAAAGATGAGAATAATGACTACTCACATGTCCAATAGGCCATTTTTGTATGGCGTTTCCAAAATTCAGCTACGTCACCTTGTATCAAACCATTTCGATTATAATACTCGTGTTTTCTTTGCCAACGATCGTAGAGAATTGGTGGAATAACTGATAATCGTCTCATCTTACGTTCTTCTTCTTCAATTTCTTGTAAACAATCAGCAACTTGTTCTAACTCTGCTTCACTTCTAACATAATTCATGTTACTGGTATTATTATTTCCATTACTCGTATTATTATTTGTGTTATTTGTATTCGAATTTAACGGTTGTCCACTTGTATTTGCATTGGTCAAATTAGTCGATAATGTTGTACGATTACCAGTGCGCTGTAATTTTTCTTTATCTTCTCGAATTTTACGAAATTCTGGAAATGTTTTTTCAAAACAATCACGATACTGTGTTATATCGCTTTGAATCATCTGCTTTTCTTGTTTTTCAATCTTCTTTTGCCATTGTTGATACAATGTATCATATTGGTCACTTTCAAGTTTAGTACGACGTAAGTGTTTATCACGACTTTTTTTCAATAATAAAAACAGTTTATGTTTTATCACACCATGATACCTGAAATAAAACAGACGAAAATGCAAGATGTAGACAGATGATGGTTTTGAATAAACGAACTATCTATCATTCATGATCACGTACCGTTTTCGAACTTTTTGAATTGAGTCAATATCGGACGGTTCATTATATAACGGCATTGTCAAATCAACATTATTATTTAATTGATTAAAAACCTTGTGACCGTCTTCAGCTTTTTTCTGCAAATATATACAAAGGAGTTCGATAATTTTACAATAAATTTTTGTTTCGTATTTTACCCGATTTTCATGTAAAATTTTTTCTATTAATGTTTGTGATCCATTTGACTTTGTGTGATCATAAATTTCATTTTCTTCTTCGCATGCAGCAGATTGTTCGGCTTGATTTTTTATTTCTTTCTGTAAAAGAAATAAGCATAAATAATGAATGTTTGAGAGGGCTTGGCGCAAGATTAAAACGAACTTGATTTTGTTTTGCACGATTTAAACGTTTTTCTGTTGATTCTATTTCATTTTCTAACTTTAGTATCGATGCTCTAATCGATGTTGTATCTTTAACAGATGAATCATGTTGTTTTGTATCTTCCGGAGTTGGCGATATAGCCTCAGTTAATGGTTCATAAACAGATTCCTACAAATGAATGAAATTATTAAAGTATAGTCAAAGAAAAGATGGAGTATTCAAAGCAAACCTTTTTTACGTCAATACTTAATGGCAGCAGCTGTGGATTCACAGATAAACTTGCACCCGCTACGTAACGTGCTCGTTTTGAGTGTTCATCAACATGTGGTCCCATGGCACACTGAACAATGGGCAAATAAAACGGATTCAACCTAAAATCAGTTCGATAATAATAACAATAAAAAATATGCATCCTTTATAAACGAACCTTTCGGGGCTTCCATAATGATTATGATGATAATTACTAAGTAGAGACGGACGACGATTCAGACTTAATGATGAATCAACATTGTTGCCACCAAAACGTCCTTCTCTCTGATAGAATAAAATTAAATATGATAGAAAACGTCCTCTTATTCTTATGCAATAATATTACCTGTTGAAAACTTGTGGGATAACTATTAAATTGAGCAGTAGACATAAAAGGCGGTTGTCTCGACATTCTTCTCCTGACTTAAACAAGTTCAACTACATTTAGAGCATCATACAAATTTTTGACAAGAATTTAAAGAAAATAAAGCAAATCATTCCACAAATCTGCAATGATAAATCCATGTAGTATTCTGAGAAATCGGCTTTCCTCCTGAAAGTTACTGAACCATATTCGTTAATGAATCGTACTTTTAGCTCATCCTTAGAAGTTTCATCACGAAAATATTTTGTAGAAGTGTGCTACAAGATTTAGAATTAACGTATAAGAAAGAGTATTCAGTGCACTTTGTATAAGCTTGTACTACACATGTTACTTTGGTCTTGGAGCAGCAATACTTGCTGTTGCTATATTTTGTTTGTTTGCGCGTCTGCAGTTTGCACGTTTTTCATTGGTGACCGCTCGTGTCCAATCATATAGCCGCAAAAAAAGCTGTTCGACTTATACTATTTTTATCCAAAAGCTCAAACCTTCTTTTTCAGAGGCTTAGACTACGTCTCGGGTGCTAAACCTTACTTCAGAAGGTTTTTGCTGCATTCTTGTGTAGAGGTCGTTATATACAACTGATTTTATTCGCTGATAGACAAATAACCGAACTGCAGATTGTCGCAACACAAGTCACATGCCTTATAATATGTAAAGATGCACCAGAAGTGAAAGGGCACTTGATACATTGAGTGCAGTACTTTCAAGGTCAGATATTGTTGCCAGATGAACTGAAGAGTCAACTACGTTGCATGAAGACTGGAAAGTCGACTGAGTGAAAAACACGACACATTAGAGACTGAAACTATTTTCGTGGCTTTACCTCTGTGGCTGATTTCGTATTTAGAATAAACGTTAAAGGTTTGAGGATTTGATCAATTAGCACTTTGGTATATGTTTTCTAATAGTTTTACTTTAGTTCTAAACAAATGTTTTATTTGAAGCTTGGTAAACTTTTCAATAAATATTTTTTTGGAGTTGTACTGTGTGCTCATAGAAGTATGATTGTACCTAATTATATGTTTTTGTAATGTGTATATGTATGATGTGATGGAAAGAATGTGTAAGGGAAGTTAAACAAGTCTAACCTTTGTCTTTAGTCGATGATGTGTGTCTTTGTTGACATTCTCATCTTCGAAGGGTGACTCATACTCCATTATCTATATATATATATAATAGAGAACTAGCAAATAATAGGATATCTCTCACATGCAGATCTTTCTTTTCTATCGACCCGGTGAAGCCCAAAAAATGTCTGCATATGCACAGATCAAGACTCTGTATCATACTCTGTCCTGAATCTGGACTCTTGATGACTCTGTTCAGAGCCTGGTCTAGATATATATCATTTGAAGACTCTTAGCAAGAGTTTCCAGTCTTGACACTCTTGGCAAGAAGCTTGGTACCGAATCAGGACAGAGTATCAATACTCTTGAACCCAGGTCAGAGTCTTAAAGAGAAAATCTTGAAAATCAGTACGAACTCTTGACACCCTATGAATCACCGTTTGTACGTTTTATTTGCTTTTACCTAGTACAATAATCCATAAATTTTTGTTTTACATGATAAAAATAAACGTAAAAACGAAAATATTTTAATTCAAAAAAATATTGAAACACTAGAGTTAACGGACAACTTAAACTGCAAAATAAAAATAAGTTTTCTTCTAAAACAAATAGCTGACGTTTTATAATGCTAAAACAAGTTTTTAAAAGAACTCAGTAGTAAGAAACTGTCTTTTAAACAGGCCTACTCTGCTGTTTTCTTTGTTTAGTAATACTCTTCACTTCTCCGACGATTTTCCGAAATACTGGCATCAAAGCACTCCACGTGAAAAAGAACCTGCGTCCTCTCAATTATTCCTAAACTATGGCTTTGAGTGAATGTATATTGTGTGCTCCTTTTTTTGTCGTGTATTTCTTACAGAACAAACAAGAGTCAGAAGAGAGTCAGTTAGAGTCCAGATCCTAGTAAGAGTTGTCAGAGTTCAGACTCTGAACAGAGTCGTCAAGAGTCCAGATTCAGGACTGTATGATATAGAGTCTCGATTTGTGTGGGATATCTTATGTGAAAAAAGATATTTCCTTATTTGCAAGTTCTCTAATATATGATATATATAGGCAATACTATCTATGCAATCACTTGCTCCTAGAAGAGTTAAGTCGACTGAGTGAAACTCGAGGAGACTTATTGCTTTCCACTCCGTCGTTGCCTAGCAAAATTCTTTCTTTTCACACTATGTTTTCTCGTTCGAGTCAGCCACTCGCTTCTTTGTTATCTCTAATCATACAGATTTGGGAAAAAGATGATTCGAAAGTGTAGGGGAGTAGATGACACAACGGAAGTTAGTTTTCGAATATTTGTTTTAGTTATAGCGGATTAGTGCCACAAAATCCGTATATTTTTTAGAAAACTAGCGTTTTTCCTATGAGATAATTAGTCGTCACGTAATTCATTTCACAGTAAATATATGCTATAGTGCTTGATACGATAAAAGCTATAGTAGAATATATAACAGGATAATGAATCAGCTGATATGTTGATGTAAATAATAGGCCGTAGAAGATACGTAAACAGTTATGACCTTGTGGATAAGTGGATGTTCAAAGGACAAGTCTGGATAAGTGGATTTTCATCCCAAAGAATTTTCGAGGAAAACCTACACGGCTGTAATCACCGTCGAAAACTGAACAAAATGGCTGGTTCAGTTTTTCCAAAAACTATCAATTTTTTCGAAAAATTTGAGGGCTGAGGTGGACCTCAGGAACATCGAAAAAAATTTCCCTCAGAAATGAATGAAAAACACATCACTAGAATCAGAACTCAACGCTGATTCCAAATATGTCCTTGATTTTACTTAAAAGCGTCAAGGAAAATGAAAACTCAATGATTTTTGAAAAGAGGTATTTTTGACCTCTTTCAGGTTTGAACCATCAGCTGGCTTTGAAGTGAGGTCTGAAACCTCGAAAAACATTCAGGAGTATGTAGAATTATTCACTCTATCCAAAACATGCCAAATGAGTTTTACAATAATTACTTTTGCATCAATTTTTTGCTAAAAACTGAAAAGCGACCAAAATTATAATAATCCATCATTTCATCACTATTTTTAAGCCATAGCCAAGTCTCCATCAATTGAGAGAGACACATAGGTCGATTCAAATTTTCACGCTGATTTCAATTCTGAGCTCAAAAAATAAAAAAAAGTTGCGGACTCCTGAAGATCCGACTTATTGAATTGTTTGCTGAAGTTATAATAATTATAGGCATAACGCCTCAACATGGTAAAATGTGCAAAATGTTTTTAGTTCATTCATTCCTACTTAGGTTACTATATATTCTAGCTTCTGTTGTTCTTCAGTGAAATAGTTTGATCCCTTTTATTCTAAGTTTGAGTCTGAAGTGATCAAACTACTGCACTTTCTAAATAGTGGTAATAACAAGAGAAGCTAGAATATATAGTAACCTAAGTGGGAATGAACGAACTAAAAAGCATTACTGTCTTCGCTAACCATCCCCGCAAAAATTATGACAAAAGGGCTTATTCGTTACTGATTTACAATGTCCGTTACCTTTTATTTCCATTTTCGCCATTTTTATTTTTGCCATTTTAATTTCCGTCATTCTTGTTTTTCGCCGTTTTAACTTTCGGTGTTTTAGTTTTGTTTTACTCAGGTGATTCATCATAAGTAGTCAACGGAGTATTGTATAGAGCTTGAAGAGATTTCATTTTGGCGAGAGTGGTTTGCTGTATTTTTCTAGATCAATCACAAAGGCTTTACTATCTCCCTAAGATTTTTGGTTTGTTTGGAAAATCGGATTTTTAGTTTGAGCAAAGAAAAAACTTCCTAAAAGTTTTGATTTACAAAGGGGGCAAAAGCAGCACCTAGTGTCGATTAGGGATTCGATCCCTTTACCCATCCACTATCTTGAATTTTACGAAGCGAGAACGTTACTGGTAAACTCAATCGGTAGTTTTGGGTGCCAAGAGGTGCTGAGATGTTATACTAAAAAATTTCAGAAAAAATCGAAAAAACCAAACTCCCTAAGCTTCGTATCGACTGTAAACGTAAAAGAATAAAACAGTGACACTTTCTTAAAAAGAATGTGACAATCAAATCTTTAAATGAGTCTGAGTAAACAACTTTGCCCATACTATATCGAAAAGTCACAGAACAGGTATGGCAACATCAAGAAAAAAAATCTATTGACACATTTTTCCATGATATATGCCAGGTTTGTACCTTTGATGTGGTACTGCAATACCTTTGCTCCAAAGACGACCGAAGACTTATGCAGCAGAAGGGAAAACTTCAATGTGGAAGTCAGTTTGAGGTTTTAGTAAAACTGAAGTAAATTTTCGATTAAAGAGTTATAATATCAAGCAAGTTGTTCCCTTGTTATCATGAAATGAAATATCATATAGTAAAGAATGAGAGAAAAGGTATAAAATGAAAAAAACAACAACAAACTACTGAATAGTATCTACTATTCATTGTTTAACCAGTTTGCTGCATCAGTAAAAATCTATTTCAGAGAAACATGGTTTGACTGTTCAAACGATCTTTATAGATCGGCAACTGTAATCGATCTATTCGAATGCTAGTTGAATAGATCGTATATATTCTGCTGCTGTCTGATTATAAATGTTCCCTGGTGAGCCGCAAATCAGATACGATTCTTCAGATTGGGCAAGCATAATGGAGTGACGCTTTTTCCACACTGATTATGACTCTGTTTGAACGTAAAATAGATATTGACTTGATTTTTGTATCATTTTTGAGTGTGTTTCTGCCTTCCGTATCAAGATAAAAAATTCAAGTCATAAATGCTTCTCGTTCAGTTTGTACAGAAAAAATAGAGGGCGCTTCAGCGTGTCGGACGCAGAATTATGGTTTGTAGACCACACTTTGAGCTATCGGTTGCTAAAAAGAAAAGTATGAAAACATTATGTTTTCATGGAGAAAATTTTATTGACATTTCTCGTTATAGAACGACGTAGTATTTTTCGAGATAGTTTTTTTCAA